GAATATGTACTTGAGGGACTCTGCCCTATTCTCATTCTATCATGTAGTTGGTTGAAATTTATTTTTCCAGACATATAGAGTAATATCTCATAGTAGAATTCTCATAAATATAATTTTCTCTGATTGATTCCATATTGTGAATGCTTGTCAGGGCCATTAACTGTTAGCAAATTCTAGAAACACCAGAGTGTTGGAAAGTTCAAGGTAAATTGTCTGAGAAAAGATGCTCTTTTCCTGAAGGTGGCTAGAAAGTTCTGACTTTCTTATATTCTGAAACAGTCTTACAGTAGGAAGTAAAATTTCAAAACAATGCGGTTCTGGCTTCTATTGTTGTATAACAAATTACCCCAAATTTCATGGCTTAAAACAGCTATTTTATGGGTCAGAAATTTGAGGACAGCATCCTGGATGGCTCTGGCTTGGGGTCTTCCAAGCAACTGGAATGTCACTGAGTCTGCTGTCATCTGAATGCTACTACTAAATCACTCATCTTTGTGCTGTCGGAAATTCGGCTGAGGAAATGTGGCTCCAATTCTTAAGCTTGTCAGTAGAAAGACAGCGTGTAGACGTCTGAGGATATACAGTAGATATTCTCATGGTATTTAAGTTCATAGAAAGGAGAATACCTTTATTTTGGCTAAAGTGGTTGATTGGATCTAGCTGTATCTGAACATGATCTTTCTATTCCACTAGTTTCGCTTACATAGTCTCAAGGCAGTATTAGATCTTTAGTCAATGGAAACCTACACAATAGGGATGTGCCACCCTATCTATTGTATCTATCTCAAACTACTACTCTGTTACCAAGCCCACAAAACACCCTATGCTCAGATTAGGTTGAATTAGTTGTATATCCGAGGAATAGTTTAGACTTGATTACACAAAGCTTGCTATTAGATTTGTTCCATGCTATAAATGGGTATGGTCTGTCCTCACTGATTTATCCACTGAGAAACTCTTCAGGCATTATTGATTATCAAATGGTCTTCTCGGCTAGGATACAGAAAATGGCAAAACGTGTGTGTGTGTGTGTGTGTGTGTGTGTGCGTGCGTGTGTGTGTGTTGAATATGTAGTGCCTTTTATTCACTGGAGAAATTTTAGAATTTCCTCTTTTATCATATCCAGATTTCTGAGTTGTGAGAGTCAACAGTTTACTATTTGAACAGTATTTTTTTCCTAAATAAAACTATAACTCCAAATCACAGTGAGAGATCTGTTTATATTTCCACATAACTGAAGAGTTCAACTTTATTTCATGGGATCTTTGAGCTCAGTATAGTGGAAAAAACAGGATACTGTATCTGGCAGAGCTATGTTGCAGTCTTGCAAAATAAACTCCTGATAAGGCTGTAATCCCTTTGTTGGCTTAACCATGCTTAGATTTGAGACTGGAAAAGTCCACAAAGGACTTTCATGTAACATGAGTAATAAGTTTATTACGCACATATTCATAAGTGCACCAGAGGGAGAGATGTTAGACCCTTCTCTAAATACATGATATCAGCAAACCTTTAAAGTCAAATTGGATGTAGCTCTAGTTCTGAGAAATTTGAAGTCCTTGTCCTACTTTCTACCCCTTGAGAATCAGATGTGTGTGGTTAGCAGAGCAATAGGGAAGAGGTAATATATCTTCTAGATTAACTTGAATTATGGGGCAGATGTACTCTCATCATTTGGTTATGAGGTTAAGTTCAGTTTGACTGAAAATTATATCCGAGAAGCAAATAGCAGGTCCTTGGCCCACTAATCCTACCTACTGGTTGGTTGGAGGATGGAGAGGCTTTGTCTTTGAAATTTTGATTCAAATCCTTGAAGTTTTATATTGCTGGAAAGTGCAGCATGCTAAAGTGGACTCCCATCTTCAAGAACCAGTCATCATATAAAAAAGTGATTTTTAGAGCCAGAGAGGGCCTCACGTTGCCAAGACTGTATTCATTGGCACCCAATCAAATCCTGTTCCATGAATCCTCTGGTCTGCAGGCAGAAGATCTGTATCTCAGCTGTGGCATTCTACTCCCTTCTCTCAGTCTCGTCTACAACTAGAAAAACCTGGGAGGAGTTTTAAAATTCTGATCTTAGGCTTAGTTAACTCAATTAAATCAGAAGTGCTGGGGGCTGGGGCCCAGGCATCAATCAGTAGCTTTTAAAGTTCCCAAAGGATTCCAATATGCAAGTCAACTTGAGAATGACTGTTTTCAAGTTCTACATTCGAAGTTATCGAATGAACACTGTTGATCTCTTAACCTGTGGCATGTGGCAGTTTGTCGGAGGTCCTAATCAGGTTTGGGGAAATGTACTATAGTAGGAGTTTGGGAATTTAGGATAGGACTAATCTCCTTCATTGTAGATTCAACACAGCTGGAATCAGCTGAACTCACAAACCCCATCAATAGCGGTCAGTTCACAGGCATTAAAAAATAACAAAAAAGCCAGGCCCACAGAGCTGAGTTTTGCTATTATCTCTCTCTCCCCTTTTCTCAGTAGTGTTCTACATGTTTCCGGTCACTACCCCAGCCCCAGACTGCTGTCTGTCTATGCTCTTATTTTTAACTAAGAAAAATAAACTTTTGTGCCGCCTATTCCCTGCTCCCTCTGATAAGACCATCAGCAGCTGTGTTCACAAAGATGTGGAAAATGGATCTGCTCCAATAATCAATCAAAGAAAATTATGCTTGTGGACTCTCTGTGATGGGGCCATTGAGTGAAGGTGATAAAGTCCATTGTATTGCCTTTTGAAACTGGATGAACAAATATGAAAAAAGGGAGCAAGGATTCTGTAGGAAGTAATATATGTAGTTCTGTTGCTACTTATCTCCTAACTCAAAGATCAAGAACTTGGAAAAGAAGGGCCTTTAGAGCTGAAAGCTCTTCGGCATTGTCTCATACTAGTTCCTTGAGGCTGGCCCCTGGTAAAATCCTCACTAAAGGGAAGATGGTGGGGGGCGGGGGAACTCCCATCTTCAAGTGTCTTTGCATTAGGTCTTGGAACACTGTAGCTTCCTTCATCCATTATTTTCACATCTATTTCACTGGGGAAATCACTTTTCTCACTTACAGACAGAGAAATAATAAACGGCACAAAATTTTAAAAAAACCACAAAGGCTGAAAATCCCGTGCAAACAAAATAGGCAGAAGTTTCAAGTGGAAGTAATTGCTCAGATTCTTGCCTTTCCTCAGAAGCCTGGACAGGGAATTTTCCTCTGTTCTTAAATCTCTCCCAGTGCTAATGCTAAAAGCATGAAAACTGATCCTGCTCTTGGAACACACATACAGAGCTGTTTTTCTACACAGCTGGGGCATGTGCTTCTCGATTAAAGATGGAGTGTTATGTCTGTTTTGGGAAACAATTTCTTGAGTTATGCTTACCTTATAATTTTTTGCTCAAATTAATATATTTTTGTTTCTTGAGGCAAACAGTTTCTTGTGCTGAATGATTTCATTAAGTTGATGAAAATGTTATATATATCACAAGAGAACAATATATGTTCATTAAGGAAAAAAGACAAAAGCATTTTTGTTTTGAATTTTTTAATTAAAAAAATTTTCAATTACAGTTGACAGACAGTATTATATTAGTTCCAGCTGTACAACATAGTAATTACACATTTATATAACTTATGAAGCGTTTTCTTAGAGAAGATTATTAAAACAAGCCAAATTCAAGACATTTCTCATTTCTTTGTTACCACAACATCCTCTAGTCTATTTGTTGCAATATAGAATAGTGAAATAGCCAGCTACCAAGATTTGCAATTACAATCCTGGCTCTGTCACTTACTGGCCAGGTGACTTTGAGTAGGTTACTCAGCTTTTCCAAGTCCCAATTTCTACACCTATAAATAAGGTTTAAAATAGCATCTACCACATGGGGTGAATGCAAAGATTAAACTAGATTATAAAAATAAGGTTAGTATTGCTGGAATATTTAAAGGAGCTCACTTTAATTTAATGCAGAAACTACTTTTTACTTTTAGAAGGAAATTTCATCTTGATTTCAGAGATCAGTTCCTGATGGTATTAACGTAACTTAGATCTTTCTTGATAAGTAAACACAATAAAATCCACAATTTTGAAAATTAGGACACATTTTTTATTTCTTGATGAGAATAAAAATCTTATACATCTTTTTAAATAAATGTTTAGCCTTATCAATTCTAATATAATCCAATTAATGAATTTTTTTTTTTGCCATCTTGCTTTAGATCTTAGAATCATGGAGTATTAGTGCTAAAAGGAACTTTAAAGGGCATCCTTC